CTATGGGCTACCTTTTCATGAGTTTAGATCTTCTTAACATCACCTACTGTCTTTCAATGTATGGCGCTTCTAATTTAAGCCGAGCTCACCAAGATCTAGAGCTTTGTCAAGATAGATGTCATCAGCGCATATATATATCTAGGGCCATTAACACACATTAAATAGTAGAAAAGCAGGATAGAAGCTTATTCAATAAAGTGGCAAAGTTGGATTCATATCCTCTTGGTAAAATTAAACCTTAAAAAGGAGACGAAATATAATTTTAGAAACAAATTATATCATTGCCCCAAAGTGAACAGGCCGTTCGGAAGATTCTCATGTAAATGGTCTAAGTTTTAAATGTAAGGTAGCTGTGTAAGTTTGGAATTTTTTACATGTTTTTGAATAATGCTTTACCTTTTTACTTCTTTTTTACGGTTTACTTTTTGATATAAGATATGTAATTTTCATCTTGTGAAGAAATAGTGACTACTTCCATTACTTTTTTAATCCTTTTTTTCAAAAGCTTTTCATTCGCTTGGCTTTTGCTTTTATGGACATTTTTTATATTCCCTCTACGTTCAGTTTGACTCCTTTTTACATTTTTTTTCTTCTTCTTTGCGTTTTACTTTTTGATATAAGATATGAAATTTTCATCTTGTGAAGAAATAAAGACTACTACCATTACTAGTTGACTCCTATTTATCAAAAGCTTTTCCTTCGCTTGGCTTTTACTTTTATAAACATTTCTAATCACTTCGTTTGGTCCATAGTTTCATACGACGATGTGAATATGTACTGAAAGAGGAAAGTTCATCTCCTAGCGTACAGTATTGATAAAGAAAAATTTACCAAAAACAATCAAAATTCGTTAAGATCATTGTGTGCATTAACAATAAACCACATCAAACAATCTCTGAAAAAGAAAACGGTTGATATTACCGCTCACAGTCAATGGGAAATCTGGCTGAAGGAAAGTTTGATGTGGGAAGGTCGTTTTCACGTGGAATCATCGAGCGAAATACAACACGTGGAATCAGATTCATTTGTACTACGATTACATTAAGATTTACCAGTGGTGAGAAATTTTTCATAGGCGCTAATATACTTTATAGTCCTCTCAGTCAAATCACGTTTGAACTTATGTTAAACAACTATACACAGACACAAGCCAAACACAGTTGATGCCGGGATTCAGTAACAGTAAACTGAGGCCGACGATTGACAAAGAAATAGCCACAGAAAAGAATCTAGAGGAAAATTGAAAAGAAATCGCGATCAGCCTCGGTGTTTATAGCACCTCTATAGTCTCAAACATCAGCGCTATCATCAGTCTCTTTGTTTTCAACTTTTGTGCTTTGAAATTCTCTGCGTAAAATGTCAATAATATTTAATCTTGATCGAGTTGATATGCACTTATCTACATATCGGAAAACTGAAACCCCGCATCAGTCAGACACGATCCATATCTTTCTAAATCTCCACTAAAAGTACCTTACGATCAAGTACACGAACAATATCATACTCTGGATGAATTTTCGTTTTTAAGAAGGTCACAAAAAAAAAAAAAGATTTGCTTCGGTATTTCGCTTTTTAGTTTTAAATATGTAAGACCGCACCTGCGATCTGACTTACCAAAATGATTCTTGTCCAAAAAAATTGCTTTCACCGAGTATTTTTTGTTGTTTAAAAAATTGTTTCAGTTACTACGAGTTGTGCTCTCTCAGCCTGAAATCAGTTGAAATACCGATTTTTTTAAATAAAAGGAGCTGAACAACACACTTAGAACAGAGAAGACAAATAGGTCATCCATATATGTTTCAGGTGAAACAATTCCGTCGTATATAGCTCTCGTTTTGTTTCAAACCGGCGGAGCGATCCTTTTACTCATTAGGTTTATAAGAATTCCAAGCGATCATTTGACGGTAATAAGGTACTACAGGCGGTAAATTTTATGGAGAAGCGCCTGAAAAGGAGAACACTGCCTCACGTTAAAAGATGTAAGAAATCTTCTGAATGTTTTTTCTACAATAAGAGATTCTTTTTAAGGCAGATATTTACGCGAGTGATTGGCTTTGGTAAAAAATGTCAATTTACCTGAATGTTTTGGCTGGGTAACTTTCTCCTCAAACGTTAGAACAGTAGAATAAAAACTAATTTCATTTAATGTCCAAATGTATCATTTTGTATTTCCTAACAGAAGTTAAAAATGCGCAATTCTATGAAAAGATAAGTTTCATTAGTAGAATTAACGAGTCGACAGACTTTGTGTTAAATAACTCACCATAAATCAGTAGTTTCTTTCAAGCCACAACACTAATTGCCAGTAGAATCGATCAGTATTCATCAAACGCAAAGATAACCAGTGGTTGTATTTTACAGAGAAAAAAAGTGCTGTGCGAATTTTCAGTTTCCAAGGCGATGCAAAGCAGATCTGGTTATGCGCATCTTAGGTATAGATGAAGTGTTTTCCTAGTCTGACATCAATTGGCAGTTAACATTTTTTTTCTTGCAATCTTAAACAAGACTTGCGATAAGTTTCCATTGTTTGGCGTACAGGTGAATTTCGCCTTTGACAACAGTGACACCAGGACAATACACAACTTGAACGTGTTGCTTACCTTTTGGAAAAATCCTAACAATATACTGCTAATGAATCAACACTTCCTCTCCGAGGAATTTATTGGTTGCGAAACAACTCTTAAATTCATCGTCTTTTTCAAAGGCTTAGAAGTTATTACGCCGATTAAATTTCCTTCTGAGCAAATGGTGTTAGCACGAAAGATCTTCCATATATCTCCACTTAACAATAAGAGGGAAAGGGAATATCGATGAGATATTTTAACAACTCTCGTTGACAGCGAGTGTAGACGGTAGGGCTAATATTGTTCAGTTAAACTTAGTCCGTGACGTTTTTCTTTTGTTCTTGTTTTTTTTGTTGCGTTACGTTTCGGTACATATACGCGAGGTGGAGTTTGGTCTCATGTTTTTTGGACTAAGCTTCCCACACGAGTTCTTATCGACGAGCTCTTGCGGGCTGTAAACTCTTCTTTTAATCGTTTGGTTCGCACAAAATGAAAGTAGGATTTCGATTGACGCTTTTTTCAGGTATTCATTTTGTTTATTCGTCTTCTTGTTTGTTTTCTTTCTCAGTTTTCACCGTCTTGTAACCGTTTTTCATGACATGTTCATACTAACAATTGTGATGGTCGAAAATTAAAGGAATATTACGGATAACGCGTCGAAGTTTTGTGCTATCCCCAACAAATGTCCTCTCTTGCGCCCACTTTTCAACATTAACGTCCGATTTCAGACACAATTAACAAGTGTCCAATTTTAGACATTATTGACCATTTTTCGACACTTATATCCGATGTGATACACTGTTGTCTGACTGGTTTTGGACACTAATGTCCGATTTTAGACAATATTGACCAATTTTCGACACTTGTCTCCGAATTCGGACGATTTTAGACACTAGTGCCAACTTAACAAACTTGTGTCTGTTTTAAGAAAATGGTGTACAATTTTAGACGCTATTGACCGATTTTAGACACCTACGTTTGATTATATACACTAGTGTTTAGAGTTTAGACACTAATGTCTGATTTTAGACACAGTGTCCGATTTAAGACAGTAACGTTTAATTTTAGACAGTAATGACCGGCGATTTTAGACACCCGTGTCTGAATTTCAGACAGTACTGTCTGATTTTAGACACTATCGTCAGGCGATTTGACTCTCGTGTCTGATTTTAGACGACTGATGACGTTCAGTTCGAAAGTCAACAATAACAACAAGGACAATCTTTTTTTAATTATTCTCGTTTGGAGGCAAATAAAGTCTTTTCTTTTTCTTTTTTCGAAGATACGTAATTTAACTTTTTCTGTAGTATAGTAATAGACAAACCTCGCATATCAGAGAAATACCATGCCTGTAACAAATACAAGAAGAGTTCGACTGGAATTTGTAACAGACGCGAGGAACAATAACAAGACATGGATATGTTTACTATAACGGAAAAATCGACCTTTTTGAGTCATGCTTTAAGTCTATGCGCTTTACCCTCTAGCCCCCTTCCCTCCCCCCCATGCTGGCTACAATAATGGTTCCCTCCCATCCCATAAAAACTAAGTAGCGCAACCGTAGCGAAACAGTGACAGTTACAGCCCACGTGTTCAATGAACGTACTTAAACCTAAATAAAGGCTGATAGTTTCGAAAGAAACTGTTTGGGGCTGCGTCGGTGGGAGTAACGAAATAATTTGGATATATCAACAAAGTTGAAATGGTAAATTGGCCACCGTAACTATTACAAAAGTTGACGTTTCGAGCGTTAGCCCTTCGTCAGAGCGAAAAATACTTAAACCTAAATACATTTTTAGACAAATTACCTTTTCTTTGGTTGTCAGGATAGTCTTAAAAAAAAAGTAGATATCAACAAGACGCTGAATAAAAACGTCTTGTTAACAAATGAATGCCATCTTCAGCGACCGCCATCTGCAACCTTTGACCTGAGTTCTTCTGTATCGTGAAATGTTCGCAGTTAATACAGCTTCCTGACCTGTAAAAACGGGAAAAGAAATGAAAGTCAGAATAAGCTAGAACTAATTTGGATTTGATGATTTTTTTTTTAAATCTCCATAATGTAAAATTCAGCCCTTGCACTGCACTTCAGCTATGATCTTTGGTCATCTATCGCTACTTTTGCGACACCGTGATCCGGAAACGTTCCAAAGTCTTTTCAAAGGAGCTGGAACTCATATGCCATCTACGCTTTCAGCTCTTCGTTAATTAAATTCTTTGGCTTCATTTTTCTTAGCCTGTTCACATAGCGCAGGGAGAGGTTGCCAAAAAGGAACTATTTAGCTCTATTAGTCCAGTCATTTGAGGCAGGCAGGCTCGTGAGAGAGTCACTCTGAGGAGAAGAGAAGTTTACTGGGGATGTCTGCGTGCATATGTCACATGTCACGCGTGACTTAAAACGAATTTTTTCTTATGTGCGTGACCGATCGACAAACCACTCCTCCAACATGGCGTCCACTAGGACAGAAGATAGCGCATTCACTATGGACATTCACATCACTAGATTAGAAGATTCCTCGCCGGTGTTCTTTAAAATTGACGGTGAAAGGTTTAAGGAGACTCAGACTTTGAAACTTCAAGTAGACACCTCGTATAAGCTTTCATTTGAGTTTCGTCCCTCGAGGGAAGCGAGGTAGGTGAAAAAAATTTTTTTGGGTAAGGACGGTTATTTATTTCCGTGTCACTGAATCATGATATTAACTTTTGCGTTATTCGTCGTTATTTTAAGACTGCCCACGAAGTAGATCTCAGTTTCGTTACATTCCTCAGCCGAGCAAATATTGTGACCTTGTATCTTTGATAGCAGTTCGCAGTTCACCAAAGTGAAAGCAAATTGATCAAAACCTGTGAAGTTTTTCCCTATTATTTTCATAGTCTTCATGGTTTTAAATTATTTGTTTTCTTTGCTCTACGTCACTCATGAACGTAAGAAGTTCTTAAACCGAGGACGAGCCAGACTTAAGCTTGCTTAGGCTTCAACCTTTTCTGACAGAAAAGAATTACTCTGAGTTCGAGAGAGGTCTGCCATAAAGAGAGAGAAAACTAAGTCATTGTTATGGTAAGAAGTACTCTGAGTTCGGGAGAGATCTGCCATAAAGAAAGAGACAACTAAATCATTGTCATGGTATTTAATTTAATTTATGAACACTGCCCATTAATTAAATAATTGAGTCTTGTCATTCAAGGTGTATTCTTTTGAGGTATCAATGTCTTTGCACATCGAGATAACTTCAGGTCATAACAAGCTTATATTTTAATGAAATTATTTAAGTATCATCAGTACTAGTTGTACATAGATTTATCTTCTACTGTATTTTTAATTGTTATCATCATTACTTTAACCTTTTACTCTGAAGATTTCATTCACAATTCTCCTTACTGTCTGCTGTACAATTCTTATGATTTTACTGACTGTGGATAATTTGGTATTAGATCAACCAATAATCCCCTCATTGATATATCTCTTAACTCTCATCACTTGTCTGCTTGACATTGTATTGATATGGTAAGGAGAAATCCTGTCTTCGTCACTTATGGGAGCTAAAGGATTAAGAAAGAACTAGAAGCAAATAACTCTTAGGGGTTAACCTTTTACACACTGACAGCAGTATCTATATTCTTCATTTTCTCTGATCCTTTATACGTTTCCTTCCTTTGGTACTCACGACAAGGAAAATTGTTTAAGAAAATTGGCAATCATTTCCTCTATGCTCATGATCTTAATGAACGATTCAGCAGTATTACTGCTATGACCGACCTATGCCACTCAAGTCTTACAGCCAATAACATCATGGCAAAACTGGCCAATCATTTTACCCAGAGTGGACTAAGAACATTCTACTCAGACAACGACTATTCATTTGACTCTGATGATGACTTCCACACAGGTTGTTGAAACCTCAGTCACCACCACCGACAACAGTCCGTCTCAGGACTACACTCACCAGAACAATCACATTACACTTTCACATGTTACCCCCCTGGGTTTAAACCATTAATTTTACTGCAGTGTTGCTGTAAGGAGAAATTCAATGCCTCTTGAGGTTTGAAAGGTTGAAGGCTGAAAGTGGGCCTAGTCATGTGACTGAATGTAATTTGATTTTAATTTTTTGTTCCCACTTTTTCTACAACACAGTGAAATTTCTATCGGGGGAGGAAATGTTAAGCATGAACTCAAGAGAAGTGATGAAAGGTCTTCGGTTTACGAGTGCTCATGGTCTACAAATGGGATGAGCATATCCAAAAATAAAGACAGACTTTACATGATAATTTTTGTGAAGTTTCAAGATGGCAAAGAGATGAATGCCAGGGTACAATGCAAAATGTATTCCCTAAAGGACAGCGATCATGTCAAGTGGGGAACATGCTTGAAGAATCTGCAAATCGATTGTAAAGTGCAAGATGGGCAGAGTGTTGTTAATGTTCATCAGGTTTTATTCAAGTGAATACAGTTAATTTTAAAAAAGTTCCCTGGACTAGCAATGCACTAAATTGTAAGTCTAGATTTTGTGTGTTACAAAGAATGTAAGTCGATCTATTTGGCTCAGCCAGCTGGTCAACTCAGCTGGTTTTTGTGTTCTGTAAACATTACCCGTTTGCTTGTCCAATGTCCACAAATCAGGTAGTAAAGCTTAGGGTTTTCTCAATGAAATTCAGAATTTTATAAAGATTTAAAAAAGTCCAATATTATCAATAGTATTTTAATCCAAAAAATATTATAACAATATAGAATATGAACAGATTTCTTTAAATTACGAGATAAAGAAAAAATCACAATTGCTCAGTTAATGTACCATTCTTCTAAATGTCTATGACGTTTTTTCAGTAAAGCATTGTAAAGCATTACAAAACTATACATGGTACATTATTTTTATCAAAGGAATATACTTTTATACTCATCATAGAGTTAGGTTAATGGAGACATTGCAAGGGAGAACATTCATTGCATCACAGACACAGGGTTATGTGGTTGAAGGTGTTATTATTTTTTTTCATCTAAGTGATTTAGTGCTTCATAAGCAAGTGTTCCTTCATTGAGTTTTCTCCATAATACAATCGATCTAAATTTGAGAAAGAGGGCATTTGCAGAGGCAACAGTGCCAAGAAATTGCTGAGAATGCAGGATGCAAAAGGTGTTAATGCATTTGTATTAGTTCCAGACCATTTGTTCTAATAAATAACTTTGTTTGCTTTCATGGTCATTTAGCCTTTTTACTTTTTTAATATTTCCTTAGAATTAGTTACTTGTTTCTGTGATTTACTTGAGCCTCAGATCCTCTGCGGTAAGAAAAAGTTTCAGAGGGTAAATAATTCTTACCGTTTTTTTTTTGGTTCATTAAAGCCTGGTAAGACCAGGGGGGCACTAGATTTGTGGCTCTTGAATCAGGTCCTCAACCCTGCTACTTCTCTCACTGAATTTTTTCATGGTTACCTTAACTCTTTCATTTCTAGATCTCAGTAGTAATTTTTCATAGTGTCTGCCATACAATTCTTATGATGTCAGTTAGGAGAATTTGGTACTGGACCAAAACAGCAATAATCCTCTAATTGATGGTTATCTTATTTTCATCACTTGACATGTGTACTTGATATTGCATTGATATAAACAAGAAAGATTTTGTCATGGTCACTCATGGAGTTAAAGGTTTCAATTCATTTCCTTCCTTCACTAAGGGACTCACAGATGCCCCCACCCTCCTCTCTTCAAGTCCGTTCTTCTGTATCTTCCCATGATCAAGCTGGTATTAATCCCTGTGGGTTTTTGTTTTCTGGTTTTGTTCACCATCAGTGTCACTACAAAGTAAAGATCAGAAAAGCCTGTTTCTGTATTCTTGAAAACAAAACAACAGGTAGGTACAATGCAACACAAACCTAATAACTCCAGAAAAAGATACTACATTTCTGTTGAAACAAAATTTTCTCCTATCAGTCAACCAGAAGTTCATAAATTGTGTTTCATTTCCCTAACTTCATCTCTAGTAAGTAGTTACTACATTTCATATTTACTCTAGGAGCCTAAATTTTTGGTACTGTTAACTTAGCATTGATAAAACAAAAAAACAATTATTTATGTACATGAAGTGTGTTGGTGAAAACAAAAATTATGAGCTATTCCTAACATTAAAAGCTGACTAAATATAGAGAAATGTTGAAAGTAGAATTTCTAAGTAAACAAACTTTTATTCCCTATAAATGATTAATGTATACACAGTCTACACATTGTTAGTTTTAAAGTGCCCCCTGCTTTTACATCATTTTCCAGTAACAATCGATAGCTCTAGTTTCAATTAACCGTGCTCAAATGTATTATGCATTAATTAGGAATTAGTAGATTCATGTTCTCTCAAAGTTATATTTGTGTTTTAGGAAATGAAATAACACTTCAAAAATCTAGGGTTACGCCTTTGAAGTAACGCCCCAGATACAATCACATATGCGCGTGTTTTAAAAGGCAACTCATAATAACCGTACTAGTTAGTTATTCCGCAACCACTACAATTGGAGGATCAATCAGCTACAGGCTAACAATTGACTATTATTAGCGATACTTTCTGCTATCGTCTGTGAGAGTCGTCACCAAATTCGAATCTGCACTACGTTAGACAGCACTACATTACACTGCACTACTTCGTTCTACTCTCTGTCGCGACTACGAACTTTGCTACCATAATTTTTTACCTTCTGTCATCACCGTTGTTATCAGACAGTGTAACTCGCGAACCTTGAACTGTGGTTAAATGTGTGTTAATCATTCTGCAAGCTGAGTTCGAATTGTCTATCAACTCACACATTGCTACCCCTGTAATTGTTAAGTTTCTGAGTAAGGCGCAACCTTAGGATCTTGACATTTACACACATTAGTTATAGTCTGTGGAAACTTCTTAAATATGAAAGCTTTCAAAAAGCACTTCTTCAAGAGAAATTATGACAGTCATTGCAGTGCTGCAAATGTCTCTAAAGCATGGTCAAAAGTAATTTATCCCCAAAAACAAACACAGCTCTGAATACAACAGTCTGTTCTTTACACACATTTTATAATTTCAAGCCACCATTACCAGATCTTCATTGTGTTAATAGCTGAAGACAAATGAACCTAATAACCTGTATGAAGAGAATGGTAACTCTACACAGAGGTATTTTCTCTGTCACACCAAAATACTTCCAACTCTAGTCTGTAAGACTCTTTCTTTGGAACACCACTTCCGGGAACACCACTTCTGGGAACACCACTTCTGGGAACACCACTTTTAGTAATCTGGTTTTCTGCAAACGATAAAGGTAAAGAATCTGATCCTACCAACAGAACTACAGTTGACGGTTGACCGACGCATCGGTAGGATCGGATTCTTTACCTTTACCCTACAAACAAATGATGTAGTTTTGTCCACATTGGTTTATATCAAGTGCTGTGACCTTTAAATACTTCCTTGTTTATAACATTAAATATCACTTTTATATTACTACAAATACTACTCTGTCTGTCCTATACGTTCCTCACTCTTAAAGATAATCTGCCCAACTTTGTTAAGGTGACAATAATGACACTTAATTTTAATAGTTGTGTAATTACATTATGATGTTTACTTTCTATCCAAGAACATTGACAAGCTTTTCTTTGGATCTATTTTGAAGTTTACAATAAATATCACTTTGTTGTTTGTTATTTATTAAGAAAAAATGCACACACATAGAGGGCGGCTCTCCCTTAACTACCAGGTCTTGGTTGCTACCTTTGTCCTTTGATTTTATCTTATGCAGATACACTACGTATCATGATCTTCAAAATAATGTAAAAAAAATCAGTTTTAAATTGTCTCAATTGTGTCTTAATCCTTGATTGAAAACAGCAATCCTGTTATTGAGCACATCTATTATGCTGCCAATACACACACTCGCACACAATTCTGTGCAGCTGTAACATGTTAAATACATGCAGGGCAAAGGTACAATTACAGGTTCCTGTTGGGGTCAATGTTTAATGGACCAGCTGTCTCTGGCTGCAATACTTGCACCGTTTCAACCTTCACAGGTGTGTATTTCACCACTGGACGAAGATGTCGCTTGAATCTAAAAACCTTGCATTCCTTACTGTAACACATGGAAAGCGACACCACTAATCCCAAAGCCATGACTAGAAGGGCAATCAGAACTCTGACACCAAAGGAGATACTGATAGTATCTCCTGGCAACTGGGTTGGGGTGATGGTTGTGACTGTTGTATACAACCACAAGTCATTTAACATCCCATCATATTGTCTGACATCATGTCCTGCTCCTCCAAAGAGCCACATCTCATTGTTGTAGGAGAAAGACAAAGCATTTTCTCTTGGCCCTGGGATATTATGTGCATCTGCAACTCCTTTTTCACCGAAAAACGGTCTACCTTCATTTCTGCTCAGTCCCCCCATCCACATCCATTGATGGCTGGAGACATTGTACATCCAAAAGTCAGACAAAAGACCTGGCATTGCAAAAGCAGACACTGAAAAGTTATCATATCCTGATCCGCCAAACATCCACAGATTACCATGCTCATCTATCCAGGATGCTGCCCCATCCCTACAACCAGGATGGTTATCCTTGGATGCAACACCTCTCTGCCCAAACTTCCCAGCACACTTTTGAACACCCTTACTTCCACCAAGCTTTTTCCATTCCAAAATTCCAGGAGAATAACTCCAGAAGTATGATGTAAGTTGTCCCAGACATGATCCACCAAACATGTACAGAATACCAGATGGATGCATCCAAGTTGCTGCTTTTACACACTTTGCAGGAATCATGCTCTCATTACTCTTGGGTCTCATTTCTTTCCACTGTGAATGTTTGAATGAAAAACTCCAGAAATCATCCAAATTTTTCCCTGATTCCTTGCCACCAAAAATCCACAGCACCCCTTTCTCTGCATCGCACCAATGAGTAGCATCACTGCGTGGGACTGGAGATGATTTATTGTCCTGCAAAGCAGTCCATGTCATTGTTTCCATATCAAAAATATATGAGCCTGGAGATCCAAACACCAAAGCCTTGTTTTGGTAACTGCAAGATACACATCCAGAACATGGCAGAGGTTTCTGACCCTTGGAAGTTTTGTTGTCAAAAGGATGAAACTTCCAACGTCTTCCTTTGACATCAAACGACCAGAGTTCATCCAGCGTGGGCAACTGTGAAGATCGAGATTTTTTTAATCCGAATCCTTTTCCACCAAACACCCAGACCGTTGAATCTGAGTGAAACCAGCTTGTTGTGCCACTCCTAGCTCCTGGACAGGATCCTTTGCCATCCACTGTACTGTGTTGGTTCCCAATTTTACTTCCTCCAATCCAAGCCCATGCTAAAAAGTAAGAAAGAGGGTTGTACAAATACTTGCATAATCGAACAACTTGAAATTGATGCTCACTGATCAAAATCAGTCATTCCTTTTGTGTACACACGCATAAAGTATATGACAAAGATATTTAGAATGGAAACACTTTTCGTATGGAGCTCAACATGAAGAGTAAAATCTGAATCATGTTGTGTGATGTCATGTTAAAATAACCATTTGTAAAGGCCCTTCAATTAAAATCCACTTAAAGAAAAGGATGACTGTTTAAACATTGTACTGCGTGCACACTGTACACTGTGTTTTTGCGTGGAGTGCTTCACATGTATAAGTATCGAATTTCTACCGAATTAGTACAGAGACATTTTGCTACGGCTTCACTCCCGCTTGCACTATTCAAACTTTCATGCCAAACCCTCGAATTTTAACTTCCAAGAAAACTCTCTCTTTTCAAAATTATGGAAGGCTCGCTAGCAGATTGGCCTAAAAGGAAAAACTTGTAGCGCAGAGACTCTGGTATGTATAAACTTGCATTGCTGATTAGACAAACAAAATAACACGTACAGCCGGACATCAAGAATGGATATGTTCGATCATTTTCGTGAAAGTGCAGTGAACATAACTCGACCAACGGCGTACCTGCAATAAAATACTTTTCAATTATTGCCTTTCTAGCCGCCGATGAAATCGCAGTGGTTGAACAGTTCTGGATTAACAAAAGAGCGAAAGTGCACCCAAGCAAACATGACCATACGTACATACCTAGTTCCTTTTTGTTCTCAATCGAGTAAGAAGAATAATTGAAATTAGCTTCTACGGATGTACATACTTAAACACTACGATATAAAGTGAGCTCCTTTTCTGTTTTCTAATAAAGCTACCTATACGTTTTGTAAAACTTACCCTGAGCTTTCTCTTGGTGCTTGACTGCCGATGAACATTCGGCATAGAAATTCGGAGACGCGATAAATACCATAAGAAAAACCATCAAGCTTCGATTAACGTTCATGATTGTTACTGCACTGTGGCTTTACGTCAAACAGTACTCGAAGCTAATTTCTTTATGCTCTCAAACGATAAAAGCGAGATCAGTTGTGAATAGAATAAATTCAGCCCATCGCAAGTAAAATCAAATAATTAATTCACTTCCTTCTTCGAAGACAAAATTCTTCCCAGAACCAAGAGTTACAACTTGGTCCCAGTCCTTTTTCTGGAGGGAGGGGTGGCTTTGTAAGATGTGACTCGTGCATCTTTTATTTATATCATACTTAAAACTATCATACTATTTAACAATCCTTGTTAAAACTGCAGAGTAAAAAGCATTTTTTACAAAGCCCACAGAGGTAAGTAAAAAAAACGTTAATTACCCCTCTCCAACACCGGTGCTGTTTTGACACATGTTGTACCAGAGCCTAAGACACAATAGTAACGCTTACACCTAGGACCATTCACTCCAAGATGTCTTCAGGAAAGCAACTCGTAAAAGGTAAAAGTGGCCTGCGAATGGTCGCTGTTTCTGAAAGTGAACGATGTCCTTTTCTTCTGGAAGAACCTCACTGGGTAGAAGATGCACAGGTACTGTATTTTTTTCCTGATATTTCTTTATCCTTCATCTCATTGTCCCTACTCATGTCTTTCCAAATTTCGATATCATGTTGCAATTAACCTTGGTACGTCTTTAATACTTTCTTTCTTTAGTTTCCGAACTGTGTGAAGTGCAATCGAAGATTCGACTTCAGCCATCGAAGGGTAATGTTCAATGTTGTAAATCGACAGTTTTAAACTTCTTGGTTGGAAAAACGTCGAAGTGTAATTTGCTTGAAATTTTAATTTTTGAAGCTTATTTTCGGCTCATCCTCGGTGTAAAAACCTGTGAAGCTCACGCGTGACGTAAAACAAGGACAACAAAAACATAAACAATAGCGTACAGCAAAACAATACCTCATGAAACAAAGAAAACCTCGTCAGGTTTTTACACCGAGGATGACCCTTATTTTCAATGCTGCTTTACATGTACCAAGTTGGGTCGTGATATTTAGATGTTTTTCGAAAGAAAGTGATATCGTATCAGCATTCAAATTTTCTTAATTAGTCTTAAAACTTGATGTGTTTGAATATTACGTACTGCCTTTCGACCCAGTAATGCTGCTGAGTTTGATATTTAATGAAGAAGTTTATATTTAACTATATTTCTCAAATCATAAACTACTAGTGCTGCACATAAGCGGTTAAGGCTTTTAGAGCAAAGTGTGATACCAAAAGGCATTGGTAAAAAGTCTTTTTGAATACTTTGCATTATTACACGACTCGGGCAGTCACAGGGCCAATAACTAAAATCAACCAATCAAAATGCTCTATTGCTGGTCCAATATTCTCTAAGTATTGGACCGGGCACTGTCCCGAATGGTCCCGATTACTCTTGGGTCTCATTTCTTTCCACTGTGAATGTTTGAATGAAAAACTCCAGAAATCATCCAAATTTTTCCCTGATTCCTTGCCACCAAAAATCCACAGCACCCCTTTCTCTGCATCGCACCAATGAGTAGCATCACTGCGTGGGACTGGAGA